GCTCGTAGGCCACTCCCGGTGGCCGAGGATGAATTGATCTCAGCAGCAACACGGTCAGCTTTGGCCGAGGATGACACATAATTGACAACAATACGGGCGCCAAGAGCAGCAAGGTGAAAGGCGATGGCTCGGCCGATGCCCCGAGAGGCGCCGGTTACAATGACCACTCGATCCTGGAGCGGCAGAGCAGCCATAGCAGGGCCTGATTCTGAAGCCATTGTACTCACGGGAGGTTGAGATTGACAAATTCAAGTGACTCTATATTATAATAGAACGTGACAACGACAAAACAGAGCCAACTTCTTGATCCTGATTAGTAATATCATATTGGGAAGTCGGTGGATTTATTGTATAAACAAAGAAGCTCGTACACCAAGTTCTCGAAAATAGAGGAGCATATGTAAATATTTTAGCTGCTACTTGTACATGATCAGGTGTTCATTTGATAATGAATTTGGGTAAAAATATGAAGATTAAAGAGGAAATAATACATTACAAGTTATCATGCTCAATAACTTGGGCGCCCCTCCATTGTTCACCAGGTTTGACTGTGACAGGAACTAACATGGAAGCAGGGCCAGTGCATATGAAGTAGTCTTTGCCAAACTTGTCAGATAATGAACCAGGGCTTTGTACGTATATGTCCTCGAACCCCATTCTTATCACCCTGAAGAACAGCTCTCGTCCCTGAAATACATAAGTGCTTTTCGTCAAAATATTTCCCTTATAAGTACTTCGCCAAAAGAGATTAAGAAGTAAAAAGTTCTTAAGATAAGTAAGAAGTAAAGTTCTTGAATAGAAAGTACTTCAGCGATGCCAAAAACATGTTCAAAGATGTGTGATGCAATACAGTAGCTATTTCTTTACCTGATCAAGAGTCTCATACTTCGAAGGTGTGGTGTGATATACAGGCTTCGACCTCTCTGCTGGTGGTGCGGCATAAACTCTACTGAACTTGTTCTTCAAGATGGTGAAGGGCACATCTTGGAGGCTCCACGAACCTGCCTTTTCTTGAGGCTCAGAACCGAACGAGAACCAATCGGGGTCCTCTGCCTTCATTGCTTCTGTAGGAGACAGTATTTCAAAAGGGGAAGATAAGGGAGGGAGAGAACAGTAGGAGCATCCTTCAAGCCCCTGGATTGCTGCCCCATCTCGTCGTTTGAACTTGAAATGACTCAGTATTGCGCTGTTTAGCGACAACAACTTCGGTCCCGTGTTCTTCACAATCACAGCCGTCGCCATACTTTCGGAATAGAGAGTGACAATGTAAGTAATCTCCATTTGCTTGCTACTGCAGCTTAACTCCACCTGCAACAAAACCATGCCAGGGAAAACAAAATGAAACCTCCACATACAAAGGCATTCAACTTACACAACTTGGTACACTGTCTTAACAAAAGACGAGATGTTTTCAACCCTTCATTACTTAGCACTACAGTGAGGAAAAATATGAGTTGAGAAGGAAGAACAAAATCTTAATTAGTATAATGATGATATCATTACCAATATAGAGATGAAAACAATAACTACGCAAGCTCAGAATCACGTTCCAAACATAATATGACAGAAGGGAGAAATTATTTAATATGATCGCCACAACGTAGCTGCTTCCCAATAACAATCCAATGCAATTCAAATCTTGTCTACCTCCTAAAATTCATGAAATACAGTTCTTAAACCTCTCACACATCTAATCGTTTAACCAGGGATCACGAAAATATTAGAATCATGATAGAGAGTGGACAAATGAATACTCATTTGAAGGGAGGATTTGTTAGATCGGTTGAGGATTATTAAAAGAAGTAGTCTCACTTTAGCTAATTAAGAGGAAGATTATGAGTTTACAAAGTAAGGAACACTATCTCTATTGGTATGAGGCCTTTTAGGAAAACCAAAAGTAAAGTTACGAGAGCTTATGCTCAAAGTGAACAATATCATATCATTGTGGGGATTTGTGATTCCTAACCTGGTATCAGAGTCATGCCCTTAATTTAATTATGTCAATAAAATCCTCGAATGTCAAACAAAGAAATTGTGAGCCTCGAGGTGTCGAACAAATGGTGTACTTTATTCGAGGGCTCCAAAGAAAGAAATTGAGTCTCGATTAAGGAAACTGTTTGAGAGCTCCATAGGTCTCAGGGAAGGCTCTATGGTACACTTTGTTCGAGGGGAGGACTGTTGAGAATGGTTGAAAAGAATAGTCACACATTAGCAAATTAAGAGGAAGATCATGGGTTCATAAATAAGGAACACAATCTCCATTGATACGAGGCTTTTGGGGAAACTAAAAGCAAAGTTATGAGATTCCGGGTAGAGTTTATGTTCAAAGTAAACAATATCATACCATCATGGAAGGTCCATAGTTCCTAACAAAAAAAAAAGCGTCCAACCAAATCAAATACAAAATAGAGCTCAGATTCCAGGTAGACAACTGGTTACACTAACTTAAATCATTAATGTAGCTTCTGCTCCTGCAGTCCCACAGCATAATTAGGAGAAAAACAAGACAAATGAATTCACTCAACGCTTGACGCAGCAAAGATCATAAATAAATGAAGAAGCAAAGCCCAAAGAGAACCAGGCAAAATTTGGTCAAAGATATATTAGATATATGCTAGATATACCTGGAGAGCATCAATGGCATCAGAATCGACATCTTTGACGGTCCAATCAGAAGTGGGAAGAAGAGAGGGTTTAGAGGCTGAATTGGACGCATCGTTGATCACAAGGCCAATCCCTCCTTTTCCGCCATTGGCGGCGGGAGTAGTGAAGAGAACTTCCTCGAAGCCGTCGTCCTTCCAATAGACTTTGGGTTTGTAGGAAGGGATATGGGCATCGGAGATGTGGAGGCGTAAGGAGCTGCCGTTGCGGACGGTGAGGTCAACGGTGGGAATGCCATTAGACTGGTGGAAGTGGATGCCCTTGCGGCCAAATTTGTCGTTGAGAGAATCGGCGGGTAGAGGGGAAGTTGCAGAAGGAGAGAGGGAGGAAGAAGAAGAAGAAGAAGCCCTAACAATGCTTAGCTTTGGGAGGGGAAGGCAAACCAGAGAAGCCATGGGAGATTGAGAGATAAAAGAGGAGGAATTAATGGCTTCCACACAGAGTTGAAGAAGAGTGTCCTAAGCTCATCCTTTACCTTACTCTCCCACCAATGTTTTCCTATGGATTTCTATTTTGGTCCCTTTATCCACTCATAACGGCTCTTCTTTAATTCTCCCTCTCTGCCGCCATCTCTCTCTCTCTCTCTCTCTCTCTCTCTCTCTCTCTCTCTATATATATATATATATATATATATATATATACATTTTTTTTTAAAGTTAACGAATTTTATGTTTTTTTTGGAGGGTAAAAAGGTCTTAATTGACAAATATTGTAGGTGTTAAAAAATATTATATTTAAATATTTTAGATTTTTAACTTGGAATAATCTCTTAGTCAATCAATCTTAGCGAAGAAAGACGATAGGAAAGCTCAAGAACAAAAAAAAAAAAAAAAACTTTTCTCGAATATGCTTTCTACTAAAAACATGTATCAAGTTCGACAAAAGTTAACTATGCAAAAATGACGGAAAAAAAAGAAAAAAAAAAGCATAAAAAGAACTTATAAAACATGTTTTTACCCCTCAAATTCAATTCATCAAATTCTAACACTAAATTTCTTGACGACAAAATAGTGAGGAAGCAAATGGCGTATGGCATTAATAGAAATACACCTGAATAATCGATCCAAATGAACATGGGAATTGAGAAACCTGCCTAATACGCTACCCTTGGCATAAACACATTCTGATTGTATCATAAACAAAAGAGGCCTCACTATAAGAACATCATCAACAGTACAATCTATCCAACAGACAAAACCGGTGACTAAAAAGAAATAGTCCTGCTAATAGTAGTGGCACGCGTAAAAAGCCACATTTCCCCAACCAAGCCCCAAATGCAATGGAAAGAAACACCACCCCTCTCCTCTTCTTATATATATATATATATAACAAACCATTTTAGTATCTTAATCAAAACTTAAAGATAAATAATAATGTAGCCCAATTCAGCATTTACTCCTCGTCCATCCCTGCAGGCTGCTGTCCCCTCCTGGGACCTCCTGCTGGTTTTGACATTATGATCTGCAACATGGGTGAAATAACATTCAGTCCAAAACATATTTAAAAATACATTACGCATTATCTCCTGCTTCAAATTCATGTATTATGCTGCCACAAAACTAAAAGCACGCAACCTTCCAGGATTAAAACTTTACAGAAATATTAGAAGAAGGTTGATCTTGTGAGTCTCAGCAGTCCTATGTATATATATGATTTTAACAAATTAAATGTCAATGCAAGCAAGCATCAGCAGATTAATAGAAGGATACCTGGTCGACTCGAAGGACAGTACAAGCAGCATCAGCAGCATACTTCAGAGCAAATAACCTAGAAGTGAAAAAAAGCCAGACAAAAGTGCATGTCATCATGAGTTAGCATCCCTAATGACTTTTTTTTTTGTAAAAAAAAACGAGAATGAAGTCATCACCAGTAACATGCACTTAACAGGACAGATTTATCGTATAATGATGACTACCTTACGAAAACTAATAACTAAATATCTCTGTGAAATGCAAGGCACTAACTATATATTGTAATACAATTATATACAAGTAAGAATTAAGCAAAATGCAACCTTACAGGAAAGATACACAATTATAAATTGTATGAAGCACCGAACTAAGAGTTTCATGAAAATAATCATAATTTTTCACATTGTAAGAGAATGAAAACTGACTTAGTAATGTGAAGATCCCAGATATTCATCGTGGAAACGTCCTTGCAAGTCCCTTCCTCCAAGTCTATACCCACTCTGGTAGTTCCGGATGCATGCTCAGCATACAATGAGGATATTATCTCCATTGCATTTAGCCCAGCATTTTCAGAAAGAGTTTTTGGTACCATCTCAAAACTTTCTGCAAATTTCGCAATGGCATACTGATCCAATCTACAGACAAAAGGAAAAGTCATCAGTGTTTCTTCAATACTAGAATAGAATGACTCTAGTCCTCATTTCAGCATCCCTAGGAAATAATTCAACACATTGACCAAATTAATGAACAAACATGCATTGATCTGAATCAAAAAGAAAAGTTAGAAAAGATTAACGTGTTAAATGGGACATCTAGTGCTGACATTACATGACTTCCCGTGACCTAAAAACACCAATGAGAAAATCTTAAACAAGCATGTGATAGGGAACTCCTTAAGAAACGTAAGTAACCTCTTTGCTTCTTTTGTTTTTTTTTTTTTTTTTTCTTTTCCTAACTGGGCAATTATTCCTGCACATTAATGACTCAAGTTTGCATTCACCCTGATTATGTCAGTTGTGTAAAAAATTTTCCTTTTCTTGCCAGAGAAATGATGCTGTTAACAAGCGACTCTGTTCAATAGTAAAAAAAGTGATCTTCACTTGTGCAATATTAAATTTAAAAAAAAAAAGAAAAAAGAAATACCCAGTTTCTTTAAAAGAGAACTCCTTTACTCTTCTAGCCAACTCAATTTCAGTAGCAGCAGCACCAGGTACTATTCGGCTGTCCCTCGCCATTGCCTGACAAAGAAAATCATTACGCAAGCTCCAAATAATTCCAAAAACAAACGGTACATATGCAGAGATATACTTTGTAGGTATTAACTCCATCATCAATTGCCCTTTCAAGATCATCCAGAATACTATCAGTACTTCCTCGTAACACAACTGTTGCTATGGAGTTGCCCCCCTCTTCATTCTTCACAACTGTGACCTATTATACAATATCAAAGGAAAATAATTAGTAATTGTGCCACAAATCAAGAGGCAATCATGAAAAACTGTACAATATAAAAATCATTAAGCTCATACAGACAACATACCCTAGCACCACCAATTTCTTCAACTGAGACAGAGTCCACGTGACCCAAGTCATCTGGATTTGGCTGGCTAAGCTTCAACTGTCGTTTGGTGGGGGTGGGGGAACTATGTCAATAGCAATGAAGAAAACAATCTCACTTTATCAATAGCAAAGCCAGAACAAGCTTACCATGGCTACAGCACCAGTTGTGCGACAAAATCTCCGCAACTCAAACTTTGAGCTAATTTTTAACACCATAAGCCTGCAGTGCAACAGTAAATGAAACTAAAGAAAGAATCGAAGGGGAAAGAAAGATTGAATCTTGATAGTTCATCCATATCCAACACATCACAAACCAACTCTTCCCAACATGCATCACCAAAGCAAATTAGTACATAAAAATTCCTATCTACTCATTTTAAATTCTAAAATCATTCAGCCACATCATAGACATAGATTTGGATATATTACGAAGTTATAAGCATGCTTGAACCTGATATGGAGTCAGTAAAAATATTTGTGAAAATAATGGATATTTGCAGAAGGGACATTGGACGAAAGTGGAAAAGAATAAAAACGATCAAAGATCAATTATGAGTTTAGTTCGATCGAAATGAGATTGCTGTGGTGAAATTACTACTAAATTATTTCCAAACAAAAAACCCTTTTTCACTTTACCATAAAAACTTCATTCACTTTTCTCAAACTCCCATAACAGTTCTTTTTATTTAAAAAAAATATACAAAAAATAAATAAATAAACGAAAGGCTCGCAATAAGGTGAATGAAATAATACAAACAGGCAAGGAAAGAAAGAACGAAAGCACACTACAAAAGGAGCCTACACAGAAGAGACAGCTTAACAATCACAATCACTAAAGGGCTCCATCACAAAGAATAAAAGAAAACTGGTAGTTACACAAATCCTTAGTCACTGACACCTAAAAGAAAGTGCGAGACAAGACCACAAAACCCACATACAATACTTTCAAGTCCCCCGAAAGATTCTCCAATCCTATTTAGCTAAATGAGTCATATAATAGCAAAGTAAGTTCCATTCCGAAAGATCCTACCCTAATCCTAAAACAAAGAGATGGAACACACTTTTTCCTCCATCACCCAACAGAATCTAGTGTACATCAAACGTACATTTCTATGAGCGCAATGAACAAGAAATATAGCATTTTTATTCAGCAACCACATTTTTAAAACTTAACTGGAGACCAAAAAACAACAGAGAGAAGGAAAACTCAACATACTTGTAGCGTTCACAGAAATGTAGAGCCATTTCCCCAACAGCTGCTCCACTAACAATTACTTTAGCCCCTGAATCTGCAACTGCTTTTATCAGCTCCTCAACTTTAGCTTCCTCCGTTTTTGCATAGTTTTGTAGCTACAATTGATAAGCATGTGGATAAATTGATATTTAAAAAAAAATACAAATGCAATTGCAACCAAAAACCTCACAAAGAGCCCAAAAGTGAAAGAATGCCTTTTTTTCATTAAGAAAAAGTAGGACAATATCTGAACCAAGCAAAACAAGAAGATAATTATAAGCAATAAAACAAGAGAATACCCAAAAATAAGATTTATAATTTCCAATTAAAATAATAACAAAAAAATATATATATATATATATATATATATATCACTAAGAAGCAGGACTCTTTTTCTATTTTCCTTGATTACTCCACTACCAACCAAAATTGCCTCAAATAAACGAAGAGACATCTAGTTAGATTAATACATTATTTATTGGAAATTCAAGCTGAGAGATATGACATAATATAAGAAGGGCCTACAAAACAAGCAGCCCAACAAATGAAGCCAGCCAAAAAAATGAGTTAAAGATACAAAAAGAGTTCTAATTCAAAAGAATAAGGCCTGAAGAAGAATTATAAAACTTCTAGAAGAGAATGCCCAAATAGAAGCATTAAACGTATCAATAGACCGACCCTCCTTCCAGACCTATCAACACCCATAGAAGTTCTCCTGTCCCTCTCAAGCAAAATGCTCAAACAGCTAGAAAAAGAAAATCTAAATACCGAAGAATTCAACCCTTCTCCCGAAATGGAAGGTGAAACAAAACCTCCTCCGTCATCATAAAACAACAACGTCTCTTATGGGTCAAACAAATATCAAAAGACGCCAAAGGCAAAGGAAGCAATCCAAATCTTCAAGTACTTCCTAAAAAGAATATCTTGGTACAAGATTACCATTTGAAAATGGGAAAATTGAAACTAAAAAATAGTATAAAAAATTTTGAGATCTACCTCCTCAGCAGTGTGAATCAATACTGTTCCTTTTGTTTCCGTTGCAGATGTATCAACGCCACCAACAAATACAGCAACCTTCATAAAAAAAAATGTTGAAGAAAATCAAGCCAAAATAACTAGGAGAAATAATTTCACAATAATATTTGAGAAGTACAACAAAATAAGAGTTTGAAATTCTTTTTAGTTATAAAAAATTATAATACACATCAAAGTTTAATGCAACCAATATTCAAGCAATTTTACTTATCCAAGTTATAAACAGGTGAAGATTCCTCATCATCTATCACAATCACCAAGACAGCATCCCCCAAAAAACCCATTTGAATAGCCAAGCCTATCATTAATCATATAATTTATGTAAGCATACAGCTGACATTTAAAACCACATAATGTAGAAGCGAAAGATAACACAGCTATCCCAGATACAGATAAAAGTCTTAATTCTTTTTTTCCTCTTTCTTCTTAAATTTCATTTCTGCAAGCAGAAGGAATTAGCACTTGGAATTAAAGAAATGCTAATTTCATTTCTTAAAGATGAAATGATCTGGATGCCATTTACAAGGATTCTATTAACATCCTCTAACATTTTTCTTCTTTTTGCATGAAACAAAACTTATCCTAAGAGAATCACTGCCATCTAATCTTGGTCAGCACATTAGCTGGGAACAACACATCATCGAGCAGTAATAATTACATAATTAAACCAGTTGTAAGCATATGAAAAACAAGTAAATTAAATTAAAAAGAAAAACATGTATAACCTCGCAGAAGAACATGAATCAACAATAGGCAAGTACATAAGAAACACATTCATCATGATGGAAGTGTAAATAAATGGTTGTTCATACCTTCGCCTTCTCAATTCGCTTTATACTTCCCACAGCATCACTTTTCAAGACCATGCCGCGCACTACTGAAGAATTATGCAACCCACCTCCTAATAACTTTGCAACTCGAACATTGTCCACATTGAAATTTTGCGGATTCTTAGGACATACTTGAATGCATGCCTGCAACACAAAGAAAAAATGTATTCATAAATTGGCAAGGAAAGGATTTACAGGATAATTACTCAATTGTAACAAGAGTAGGAAAATATACATCAGCAACTAGAGAACAAATAAAATCTTCTTGTCCAAATTGCTTGCTAGCAACAGCAGCTTTCATTCGCGAAATAACTTGCTCTTTGTTTTGAACATCCATGTTCTCTGAACCCTTCTCCACTAGTTCATTCAAAACCTCAATAGTCTGAACCAAAGTAAAGACATGATATTAAAATGACATGTTACAAAAGTTCATCTATGTGTTCCATAACCTTTGTAAAAGTGAGAAACCTTATTGATTCCTTTCGTGTAGCCACTGATAATTTCGCTAGGGTGCAGACCCATCCTGATGAGCTCTTCAGCGTTTTGTAAAAGCTCCCCAGCAAATGAAATTGTCAGATTAGCTCCATCACCAATTTCTTCTTGCTGAGCTTTACCTGCTAAAACCAAAATTTTGGCTGCAGGATGCTGAACCTCTAGTTCATTAACAATTGTTGCAGCGTCATTTGTGATAAAAAGCTTGTCTAGATGATTAATTACCATCTTATTCATTCCTGGGAAAAGATACTTAAGAATAAGGGCATTGACATAGATAGTAAGTTTGGAATATATTTCAAACAGTACAAAAACTCTATAAAGAAAACATTAAAAAGTGCAGAGGCTATAGAAGAACTCCTTGAACAATATTATCTTAATTGTTCTCGCAAATTTCTACATTAAGCTCCAACCTTAAATGTTAAGTAAAAATTACCTATAGAGCTTTCTTATACATGATGGCTTTCTAAAATTTTGATTGCACTGAAATATGTGGGTGGTCGGGGGCTTTGAATCTCAGTTGAGCTATGCAGGTACTTACAAATAGCTCAATTCAGAATGAAGGTGAAATGTTTTCATTACAGCAGACGTACAATTGCAAATGAACTTAACCATTATATGTCTCGCCTATCCAACCTTTGTCTTTATAACCGCAAGGTTAATCCTACAGTTCAGATTGGATTCATTGTCCGATCTGCAATGTAATGTATCTCCGTCTGTCTCCAAAGAAAGTTCGCCTCTTGGAATGGGAAACGATACCCTCCCATAGTTGGCGTACAAAGATAAACCGACAAAAAAATCATACTAAAAAACCGGTGACGCAAGTGTGCGTCACATTTTCGTTCTAAAAAACTCTAAATAACATAATATGAAACGAAATGGGGAAAAAAGGAGCAGTGGGGTTGAGATCAGAGGAAACACACCATTGGGACCAAGAGATGTTCGAGTAATAGTGGAGAGCTGTTTGCAGGCGTCAATGTTCTTGAGAACAGCCTCATCCAAGCCGGAGAGATGCTTGTGACCCTCTTTAAGCATGGATTGAATTCCATGAGACGGCAGCTGGAAACCCATCTTCGAATTCCTGTGAAAAGCCTGAACTTAGAGAGTGAGAAACTAGAGGTGGGGCTGGAAATGGCACAGGAGATGAGCAGACGTCAAACCCCAGGAGTGCGAGCGAGTGAATGAATGCAATGGAGGGAGACGGAGAAGCAAGAAAGCCCTAGAAGTTCAGTAAGTTGGAGTATGGCGGATGGGAGTGAAGGGTTTTAGGACCAAATGAAATGCTCTACTCACCAAACTCACTTCCCCAATGTGCCCTAATTTAAAACTCCATCACATTACAAAACTCCTCAACCTCGTATGCTAAATCAAAATTTTAAAAAAATAATAATAATAATTTAAGTACATTATTATGATTATACATTTATTAAATATTTAAAATCTCGATCGTGTTATGGTTTGTTTAAATTACGTTCTAGATTCCTAATTGACTATATAAAATAATGTCGAATATTGGTCATAATTTACTTTTTAATAATCATGTCTAAAAAGAATATAATTTAAAAAAAAAAAAAAAAAAATTGATGCACCTAGAATCAAGAAAGATTATCATTAAAAAAAAGGAGAAACAAACATAAACTTAGCTCAAATGGCCCCTAAATCCTTGATCCCAAGGCTATCAGAATCAATAAAACAACAGATATTCTTTCCTCATTCAAATTTACATCACAGAGATTCTTGCTGTACACATAAATATCTAAAATTCGTCGACGTTTTCACATTACTTGAACCGAACTATAATCAATCGATCTTGCACCTCCCATCGCCACATTATGTGCAGGGTTCGAACACGACCCATTTGTACACCTTAGCTGTTGCAGCTAAGTTCAAACTTCAGTTGAAATCAGCTTGAAGCTTGATGGACATGTAGAGAAGAGTGAGAACAGCCCCTTGAGGAAGTGGTGCATATCTTGCAAGATTTGATCCCACCCACATAGCCACTACCACAACAGCAACTACACTGCTGCTACTTTTCCCACACACCCAGCTTGCAAACGAGAGACATATGGCTAGTAAAACACCAGCTCTTCCACCCAACAGCCATGCCACTAGATGTCCCATCTTATACCCCGCGTCCAACTTCCAGTCGAACAACGCCACCAGGCCGCTAAAGGTCAGGGACAACTGGGACCCGAACGTTTGAAGTAGAAACAAGGACAAAAATGTTGTTTTCAGCACTTCAACAAAGGGGCTTCTGAGTTCGCTGCTGCCTCCTTCCTCCTCCCCCTCCTCCTCCTCCTCCTCCTCATCTTCATCAATGCGGGAAAAATCCTCTTGGAATCTATAATATTTCTGATCTCTCTCATACTGTCTCTTTTGCTTCAGTTCAGCCCATCTATAGCTTCTCGATCTTTCTTCAAAATCAGGACTATAATACCACTTTCCTCTGTATCGCCTCTCAGTACTTTCTTGAAGCTTCAATGCTTGGTCATACTGAGCTCTTGTCGCTTCATTAGCCAATACCTGTTCAGAATGTCAGCATAGAGTAGACGTTGAGGCTTCTGGTTATAAACCAAACATGACATCAAATCTTTAGAGTGACTAGCAGAGTGAGTTTCCATCTGAAAAGATTTGGTTTCAAGCTTAATTTCTCGAGTGATTTACAGGTTCATACTGACAGATCTATGGATTCATTTTTCCAGATACCAAAGATACAACAATCCCAAGGAAGGGAGAACGCAAAAGAATATCGAATTCTTGCAACTTACCATCGATAAACACGGGAGAACACAAACATCTTCCACCAATCAGTGAACATAAATCATTAAATTCAAGGGAAAAGGAAAACATAAGACATTCTTACATCAATAAATCATTGAAACTTACTTCAATAAACATCGAAGGAACCAAACTCTTCCACTAAGCAGTGAGCAAAAGCATATTTTATCAACTTAAGAACATATATTCTTATATGAATCAGGTTATCCTTGTTTTAACTATAGGACCAATCACGCGTTCAAGGACCAAACAACTCCAACTAGCTTTCGATTCCCACATACAAACAAAAGTGAATTCAATTAGAGGAGGAAAAGGAAGGAAAGTTGAACAAAAGCTGTATACATGGTATTAAGATAATGCTACAAGAAGAAAATGATGTAGTTTTATGCTACGAAGCCTACTATTGTAATTTTTGCTAGCAAGATTTATTTGAGGTGTTTATGTTTGGGTCATTGTATGACTTTTGTTATATTATTATTATTATTATTATTATTATTATTTTGAGTCAAGTGGAAAATCATACTTGGGGGTAGATTGCTCTTTTAGCTAATCAACTAAACGTACTAGGTTTAAATGATAAATGAGATGTTGTACATAATTGGTTGTTTTTGAGAATAAAACTGTTCTACATTTTGATGGCCGAGTCTCATCACCCCTTTGTAGTTCTTGAACTAAGGTTGCAAGTAAGCCCGATCAACAAGTGTTCAAACCTTAAGTAGTGAACTCGTTCTCCTTATTTCTTGGTTTTTTATCATAAGGTAACTTTCTCTAACTCTCCTTGGGAATGTGTTCAATTGATTTGGGAGGTTTTAGTATTTGTAAACTGGGGGTTCACGTCACTAAAGGGTTCCTAACTACAAATTACTAGGATTTTCATATCATTTGGGTATCACTAGGGTTTTAGTATTTATGATTTGAAATTAGGAACGGTTTCGTTTGGCTATGTGATCCCCTAATTCACAAATACTAAAACCCCCAAAATCAATTTAGCATAACCTCCGCGGAAAGTTAGACAAGATTACCTTGTATTGAACCCAAGACGTAAAGAGAACTAGTTCCCTACTCAGGATTTTCTTCTAGTAGCATCATTTAACACCACCACATATACAGGTTTTGTTCATTTTTCCTTCCTTGACCTTCCTTAATTCAGTGCAAGCTAGTTATAGCTATTTGGCCGGTGAATGCGTGATTGGTCTTGGAGGTAAAGGAAGGACATCCTAGTTCATATAATATTCTCCTACCCTCAAATAATGAGACCATGCTTGCTTTTGTGTTCATCAATATTTGTGGATTGTGAAATGAAATAATGTCTATCACAAAAAAGTTATAAAATGGGTTGCAGTATTAAGATACTCACTTCATATGCATGTCGTATGCTCTTGAAGGCATCAGCAGCTCGCAAATCCTTGCTAACATCGGGATGGTACTGTAGTTCATAATAAAAGTACAGTAAGTGGGTGGCTATTATTAGCAGGGGCACACAATAGAACATTTGGAACAAAGTGCCTAAGCAAACATTTGAGACAATGAATATTTCAAATCCCCACTGATTAGGATGGGGAGAAAAAAAAACCTAACACTTGTAACTATCCAAGCAACAACCATGCTCCTTTGGGCACTTTCACCTCCCACAACCTTGCTTTGCTTGAGAAGAGTGACACCCGAATTTACCATTGAATAATCTGTTGATTCTTTCCAATCAAATTGTAACGGCCCAGATCCAGGTTTTCCCTTTCAGGCTTCCTCTCAAAACTTTAAAACGCGTATGCTAGGAAAAGGTTTTCACACCCTTATAAAGGGTGTTTCGTTCTTCTCCCCAACCAACGTGGATATCACACAAATACACCAAAAGAATTGATATCAAAAGCTTCTTTGCTTTTTTCTTGAGAGAGTGACCAGAAAGCATTTGAGAGAAGTTATGTTCCAGTGCATATTGAGAATTCCATGACAGCCCAATGGTTTGGATTTAGAAATTGACCAGCACGGGATTTACCACATCATCCAGATAACCATATTGAGCCAAAACCCTTTTTTCTAAATTACAATCTACATCCTTAGCCTTTCTCTAAATCAACCATGAACATGGCATGTGTTGATACAAGCTTACAGCATATAGGGAAACCCTAAATTTAACGAAATACAAAACACCAAATATATTCCCAAACTGGTCCGACATACCACCATTGTTCTATAGTCGGTGAGATTCTAGAGCGTAAACAATTAAAATTGTATAGCTAAGACGAAGAATCAAGAGAATCCGAATACAGAGTTACCTTGCGAGCGAGCAGACGAAAAGCTTTCTTGATCTCCTTGGAGGAGGCAGCGCGAGGGACGCCAAGTACCTGGTAATGGTTGCGGTCGCCGTCAATGGCGGTGGACGAGGAAGCGACGATGGGAGTGGATCGAGGAAGGGGATTGGTTGATTTGGAATAGGGGTTGCAGGAGTAAGTCCGGCGAAGAGAATCGGCGATGAGAGAGGAGTAGAAACCGATGGCAGAGGAGGAAGAGGAAATGGGGATGGGGATTGGCCCCAATAGCAAATTCGCCTGCATTACGCTTCTGGCTCGATCATGGAGGCGTAAGCAAACGGTGTTTGTGGACCTCTTTCATCAAATAGATAAATATTATCAAATCTAACCATTTATTCCATAGCAACTGCTAATGGACCTCTTCAAAGGGCGTATAAATGCGTGGGAGACATGTGCTGTGGTGCTTTGGCTCAGCTAAAACACACAATGAACTGACGGTGGGTATCTGTAGGCGTGCTGGATTCATTCAACACCCAAGAACATTCCTTACTGACCCTTCACCCTTCAATGTTGCAGCGTTGGTAACCAATAGGATCCGGCCACGTAAGGGAAGAAAGCTGAGGTGGAATCCATGTCAGCACAATTGATTTGCCCATCTCTGTGCCTGTACTCCATAGCTCCACCCTTTTCATCTCCGTTTCTCATTTGTATTATAATGATTGCAAATTTCTGTGCTGTTAGTTCATTCAATTGTTCTTGCTCTTCCTTCCATTATTGATTTCTTATATGCGAAGGAAATGGCCATTTTCTTCATATTCTCTACCCTCAAAATTTGACCTTTCCAACATAAAACAAACCCTTTTTACTCTGAACTTTCACATTATCTGAGTAACAAATTTAAAATGAAAACACAATAAATTTGCACTGTAACTAATTCTGGACAATTTTTCAATTTTAGGTGGTCATAATCATCACCCCCCAATACAGAATCCAATTTAAAATCCACCTTCCATTATAAAGAACAATTGTTTTCTTTTTTTACATTACATTTTATACACCAAAAAAAAAAAGAGCAACTTTTTCTTTAATTTGGTAAACAACTCATCGCTTTTGCGGCTCTGCCCAATAAACTAAACCAACCCACAAAACTGGACTTGTTTAGCATCAAATCCAATACCAAATTCTGACCCACAACTCCAAAAGGGCACAGCAGAAGATGCAGAGCCTTAGGATGAGGTTGAAATTGAGATTGTGACTGAGGGATTATCCATCTCCTCTTGTGACTGAGGCATTTCCCAAAAGAACAAAAAGAATTTCATTCTGAATCACTCTCCATGCTTCCCATGGCTTTCAACCCAGTTGGCCTCTGCAAATTCAAAACCCACGAACAAAAAGAAAAGGAAAGGCATTTTCTTCAACTTCTACTTCAACCCAGAAGAAAAAACAAGCAATTTCATTTAACAGAGATGATGGGAAAGAAACAAGTTCAGTTATTTACCTTCTTTGCACTCTTTTTTTCCCTCACTTCGTATCTCTCTTGGCTCATTTCACTCAGCCATGCCCCAGGGCTCACCAGCTGCCACAAACAAACAACCATTAACAGCAAACAAACATACATACAAACACACAGCGATAGGAAAATGGGGGGAAATATGGTGTTGTTGCAGTTGCTTACAAGTAAGCTTCTCTGAATCATCTTGGCCCTCTTTTTGGGCCTTTGAGGGAGCTTGCACCCCTTCATGGCCATGAAGTCTTCCTCCTTTTCTTTGCTTGACAGAGCTATAAACAGCTTCGGCCAAACAAACCCTCTTTCCTCCGCTTTGCTGTTGCTGTTGCCGTTGCTGTTGGTTGAGATTCTTCCATTCTCATCCACCACAGCAGCGCCGGCGGATCCTCTGGTGGCGTAGTAACGGTCCTCCTTCTCCGGCGACGGGGATGTGCCTGCACCGTTACGCAGCGTAGTAACGCCCTCAGAATTCCTGTCACCAAACAGATCCACAACACACAAAATTGATTTACCTCGTATTCTGGGAAAACACCTCTCTTCAATTGCCCTCTCTTTGGTAGCTGGGGGAGGAGGAGGAGAAAGACCCAAGAACACAACACAACCACAGATACATGAACCCAAGTAGCCCATAGAAACACAAATAATGAATGAATGGGAACATCCAAACCAGAAATTTACAGAGGAGAGAAAAGTCCTTTTAATTTTTTTTTTTTTTTAATCTGCTTTCTCGGGAATCAAAAAGAGTGTGGTGGAACAGGAAATAGGCGTGAATTTCTGACTGACCTAGTTAGGCGATTAGGTTGGAGTGGGGTTCTTTCTTTCTCGGAACCAGAAACCACACAGCGATCGGCCCGAGATGCGATTTTCTTCCGTAGGCCGCCGCACAATCGCTCGGAGATCTCAGGGTCTTTGATTCTAGCACATCGCAGTCGCTTCCTCTTTGCCCACTGTAAGAACACCTCCGGTTCTAAAGGCTTACAACCTCTCTGATTCTGATTCCTCACCTCCGTCTCCATACCTGCAAAGGGGAAAACAAAGAGAAATTTATAAATTTGCAATTGAAACGACTATGGAAACGGAATGAAGCAGACGACTAATCCAGATTCTGCCGGAACTCTCCCCTTCTCAAGTTCTCAGAGAACTTCATACAGAGAAAAGGAAAGCACATATGAGACTGAAGAAGTGGAAGAATCGATCTCTAATCACAAGATCTGGCGAATCACATACCCTCATACAATCGAAGATTGTAATTGATGACTATTAAATCAAAACCCATGGGAGAAGAAGACGAAGATGAAGAAGGGAAGGGGAAATGAAGAAGAAGAAAACTTACAATGAGAACAGGAAGATTCTTATCCACAATACAAGAAGGCTAATCCGATGGAAGAAAAACCAGATCTCCAAAGGAAATTGAAGCTCAGATCGTGTCAATCAATTTGATGGCTCGATGACCTGAAAAAAATTATTGGAATAATCGGGTTTCAGGTGAGGGAATTTTCAGCATTACGAGAGAGAGCGCGCGTGGTTGAGTAAGTTTGGAGCAGCAGAGCTTAATGACGTCTGAGCTATGGCTATGGCGGTCGTCTTCTTTGCTGTTGCTGTTGCTGTTGCTGTTTCTGTTTCTGTTTCTCTCTCTTTCTCGTCTTTCTTCAATCTCGCTTACGTGCTGCACATTGTCTCGCCAGTGATGATATTAAAAAAAATGGAATTCCATCCCGTACCTTGAGAAGTCCCACCATGGGCTCAATGGGCCCAAATGTTGCTCCTTTTGGGCTGCTTCTTCTGGTGAGAGCCCATGTTAGGCCCACGGGAATCATATGGGCCTATAGAATCATTTATATAACAAACGAACGGAAAATAATAATAATAATTAGCATAATTTTAAAACTTTTAATATATAGTATATATATGTATTTGTATATAAAAGTGAAGCATGTGGGAGAGGATTAATATAGACATGTCCATAGATGATTATTTAATTTGGTTTATTTTTATACTGGATCTCTAATTATTATATAACTCCTACATTATTTTTTTATTCGAGTTATTTGGTATATATTTCAATACAAATAATCAGGTAAGAAAAAGGTATTTTGAAATACCTCAGTATGAAGGATGATTATTATTATCATTATTATGTGTGTACCCAAATGGTTCGAACCTGGGAAGTGGTGTGTAGTAACGCGCCCTACCAGGGCAGTTACCCCACTAAGCCAACAAGCTACGAAACATTTAGGTGATAAATGTTTTATAAAATTACTTAAAACTATAATTTTTTTCCGATTACATTACCCACAAAATTTGGTATTTTCTTCGAAAAATTATTAATACGCCTACAAATTTTTAAATTTATATTTAATAATTTCCAAATTTATTCTATTTATATATATATATATATATATAATTTTTTTTTTTTTAATATTTGTTTTACAAATATCTATCGAGGGAAAGAATGGTGGTACAAACTACTGCCATTGAGTGTCGCATGAGACTGTTTTCCGTGTCAATAAAGTGAGTAGGGTTACCACGATGATTGAAGAAACTGATTCACATCGTTTCGTGGTTCGGTTCAACATTCTTGAAGCAATTAATTCCAATTTATTTATTTAGATCGGGTGTCGTTAGTTCATGCTTAGATCTTTGCGATTGGACCGGTTTATAGCTAGTTTTCAAAATTTAGGTTGTTTTATTGTCAGCTTTTCACCAATTTTAAATGAGTTTGATTGAGTTTTCAATAATTTGGTGTATAAAATAAAAATTTGTATTTGTTAATTCAAATAAGGTATAACTCAATTGATTCGAGTGTGGTGAAAAGGTTGAAGAATATTTTTGGAAGAATATTTTTGGAAGTTATTGAATTTTTTGAAGAGAGGGAAGGAAGCAAGACCATAGTCCACAGGAAACAGATGGGCGTGGTGGAAACGAGATCGGACGGATGCAATTTGTTGGAACACGTCAGGTTTAGCCAGAATTAACCCTCCAAGGAAGCCCACCGGAGAGAGATCACTTCCGTCTTCGGTTGGCGCTGACGCCCACTTCGACTTCAAACTTACCGCCATCCTCCGCCTCTCAAAATGATGCCGCCGGAGCTCCAGTCCCGTTCGTTTCGTCCTCACATCTCCGCCTCCACTAGTGCCCCCTCCTTCTCCTCCATCGGCAATGGCAGCCCCTACGACCAAAACCCTAGTGCCTATCTCGATCGTCACGGTTTTTCTTCTTCCTCTTCTTCAGTTTCCTCTCCCTCCAGATCTTTCAAGAATTCTCGATTCTCGCCTTCTTCCTTCATCTACAACCCTCGTATTGCCATTGCCCTTGTTCCCTCTGCTGCCTTCCTTCTTGACCTTGGCGGCACCCCCGTTATTGTGACATTGACTATCGGCCTTATGATTTCTTATATCCTTGATTCCCTCAATTTCAAGCCTGGGGCGTTTTTTGGTGTTTGGTTTTCTCTTCTTTTTTCTCAGATTGCTTTCTTCTTCAGCTCCTCCTTTAATCTCACTTTCAACTCTATTCCTCTCGCGATCCTCGCTGCTTTCCTTTGCGCCGAGACCAATTTCTTGATTGGTGCCTGGGCTTCGCTTCAGTTCAAGTGGATTCAGATCGAAAACCCCTCTATCGTCCTTGCTCTCGAGCGCCTCTTGTTCGCTTGTGTGCCGTTTGCTGCTTCCGCTCTGTTTACTTGGGCGACTATATCGGCCGTTGGCATGCTCAATGCTTCTTATTATCTCATGGGCTTCAATTGCATCTTCTACTGGCTTTATTCTATTCCTCGGCTGTCGTCGTTCAAGAACAAGCAAGAAGCGAAGTTCCATGGTGGAGAGATCCCTGCCGATAATTTGATACTCGGTCCTTTGGAGAGCTGCATTCACACCTTGAATCTTTTATTTGTCCCTCTACTCTTCCACATTGCATCTCATCACTCGGTGGTATTTTCTTCCGCTGCTTCCATTTGTGATTTGCTGCTTTTATTTTTCATTCCATTTGTCTTTCAACTGTATGCGTCGACGAGGGGTGCACTTTGGTGGGTCACTAAAGATGCCAATCAGCTGCACAGTATTCGGGTCGCTAATGGCGCTGTCGCATTAGTTGTTGTAGTTATCTGTTTGGAAATTAGAGTTGTTTTCCACTCCTTTGGGCGCTACATTCAGGTGCCACCGCCGTTGAATTACCTTCTTGTAACTACAACTATGCTTGGAGGGGCAGCAGGAGCTGGTGCTTATGTTATGGGTATGGTTTCGGATGCTTTTAGCACCGTGGCGTTCACTGCTTTGGCTGTGATAGTTAGTGCTGCCGGAGCAATTGTAGTGGGATTTCCAGTAATGGTACGTCGTTGACTTTCTATGATTTGAATACGTGGCATGTTTTTAATCCGCATCTATGGATGAACTATATTGCACGTTGTGTGGTAGCAGTGAATATATTGCTCCATTTTGTCCTGTAAACTGAACTCCGGTAGTAGCATTGCTTATGAAGATTTTTGGTAGAGGAGTATGTGTTGGATGGTTGATATAGTTTTTCTTATGCTTTTACTGGAAAGATGAGCCAACTATCTAGTTGTTTCTTGAGGCAGGAATTCCGAATTTCTTTAGTTCTTTCTTTTTATTTTTAATTTTGGTAAGAAGCAAACCAAGCTAGTGCTTCTACAAAGATTTTCTGTTAGGGGTTATAACGTATCAGTGAACACGTTGAGATATTGCATTCTTAAGTTTGAGATCTTTTTATACCTATGCGAGGATAAGTCAGTCAGGTTCTACCTCATATTGTTTTATTATGAATTAGGGTGGTCGATTTATCCCATTGTTTATTGGCTACTTCACGAGGGCATATTTCCTTTCAAAATTTTGTAACCAGGGTATGAATCAAGATATTGGACAAGTTTTATTTCTCTGTCAACAATTGTTGATTACTTATCTATCACGCTCATGCGTCACTGTGGTGAACTTGTTTAAATCTAAACTCTCCATCACAGTGATCGCTTTTCTGCTAATTCTCTGGTTCCAGCTCTCTCTATTAATCTTGCCTCTTTTCACCCAAGTTTGGGTGAGACATAATTGGGAAAGCTAAGGTGCCAAAGAAGGCGAAAGTATTTTGTTGGGTGTGTATTCAAAGGAAGTTCAACAAGAACCCTCATCTCTGCTTATCTTCTAGCTGGTGTGTGGAAATTAAGTGCAGCTCTTTCCCCTTTGTGTCTTTTCTTGAGACATTTGGGCCAGATTATTTAAGCTCTTTGGCATTCATTGGCATTTTTTTGAATGGAAATGGTAGGGGTCTTATCCAACTAATCTATGGGAACTCGTTCAAAGCGCAAGCTAGTGTTTTGTGGTTTAATGTTGTTATGGTTACATTTTGAAGGATTTGGCTCGAGAGAAAATAGAGGGTCTTCAAAGAGACTTGTTCTAGTTCGGAGGAGTTTTGGGGCTGAATTATCTCTTTGCATCCGTCTGGTGTTCTCTTTTGTAACTTCTTTTTTTTTTTTTTTTTTTTTTTTTTTTTTTTTTTTTTTTTTTTTTTTTT